GCTTGTCTACTTACAGTACTCGTGTACTCTTTCTCTCTCTCTCCCTCTCTCTCTCTCTCTCTCTCTTCCCCTCTTTCCCTCTCTCTCTCTCTCTCTCTTTATCGTTGGTTCTCTACTGTGCATCGACGTGTCAAATACCTGCTCCGTTCAAGTTAGCACGCTGCGGTTTCGCGTTTCGGGTCGACGAAGCGAGAGAACTCACGTCCATGTGGTATCTGCTAACCCTGAAGACCTTCTTGGATAAAACGGATTGAAAGAAGTTGACACTTTCGGAATCGACATTAAATATTCTCTCGAGTGTCTTTGTATTTGAATAATCGAGAAGATATCGAGAATTATCGACGATTTAACGACGTAGCATTAGCAGTCAATGTAGGTGTTCTTACCTGCATATTTATCTTCCCTTTATTCCCTCTTATTCCTTTTATTCGTCTTTTTTCTCTCTCTCTCTCACTCTCTCTCTCTCTAAGTTTTACTTTTGCTTTTTCCATCCATTTTGTGTAGGACGATAGAACGATGCCAATGTGGTTGGTTATACATGGTTGGTAGGGATTACGAATATTTCTGGAATTATGTGTTTATGTACGTATATTCGAGGATTAGTCGCGCGAGAAAAGAGGGATTCAGATAGCCCGTGTGGATTCTAATCGGTGAAGTTGAAACGATCGTTACTCGCCCAACGCCATTTTACCGCGCTTTATGCCGCACGTATCGAGATTACCAAGACGATGTTCGAAGCACGTAGGACGTAATCTCGTTTATCGTAAAGAATGTTCTCCTCTTAATCGCAAGAGAACGCAAATTGCGTGTCACTTATTTTTTTCTTATTTTTTTTTCTTTTTTCTCTTTCTTCCTCTCGTTTTTCTTAATCTTAATAATAATTACTTTTACTTCAGTTATCCAAAAATGAATCTACGAGTCACAATATTCTTTCTATTTTATCTCAACCTGATTGGTTTATAGTCGAAGAGGGGAGAAAACAGGAAAAAAAGAAAAAAAGAAAAAAGAAAGAAATAACAAAGGAAGAAAAAAAGAAAAAAGGAAAGGAATTATTTTGTTTTTAAAGTCGTCGAGCCGTATTCATTCCTATTCAGTCGAAATAAAGAAACGTCTTTATTGAAACATGGATCATCGCGTTGTAAACGTAAACAGGATCGCCTGGACAAGGTCAATGTTCTTCGGCATTCGCTGTGAACAATTCCGTCCAACTGGTACAGCAAAGCGAAAACGAGTAGATCAACCGCATATACGATACTTTTCGATCCCTATCTTCAAACGCAATATTTATTGATAATAAATGTTTTTGGAATATTTTGAAGAATAATATAATACGTAGGTAGGAAAGTTCTGTCTCTTCCCTCTCTCTCTCTCTCTGTCTCTCTCTCTCTCTCTCTCTCTCTCTCTCTCTTTCTTTATTTATCTATGTCTTTTTTTTTCGTTAATTAAAGGGGAAAACATCTCGTGTAATTTCGAAATTTTATGAAAAATTTTTTTTTATAAAGACTATGTAAGGAAACAGGACGAAATCTGCCTTCGACCTCGATTCATTCCGCACACCTGGCCTCTTCGAGAATAAGGAACGATCTCGTTTTACTCATTTAGTAAACACGTTCGATATATCCAACTTTATACCAGTCCTCTTATGTTTTTCGCCGATTTATACTTACATGAAGAAAAGTTTCTCTCTGGTTTCTATAAACGTGCCTAGAACCAATCGAGTTTGCATATCTTACTACCGAATCGGGTGATATCGGATTGACGTTGAATTGAATCCTAATGATTATTCATCGCACCATTATCGTTATAATGGTAGAGAGACGGTAGAACTGATGAATTTTAAGAGCTCGATAATCGGATATTTTCGTCCCTCTGTAGACTCCTTTATATTTACGACTACGTATAACGATAGACGGGATTCTTTTTATTTATTTATTTATTTTTTTCATTCGTTTGTCTTTTTTTTGCTTTTTTTCTTTTTTTCTTCTTCTTCTTCTTCTTCTTCTTCTTTTTTATCGAATAAAAAAGATCGCCACCACAAGTTACGATATGTAAAGTAGTATACGACGATAGAATCTCTCGACAAGGCGTAGTGTAAACTTACACGCCTTCGCTATGTGCTCTCATTCTCCATTATCTTATCGAACATAACTTCCTACAAGAATAGGACCTCTTTTTGCTATCCCAATACAACTGCGCAAATAATATCTATAACTCATATCCGAGGTCATTGCTTACGAACTTTATTATTAATGAAAAAATGATCTCGTTCTTCTTTTATTCTTTATATCTTACTTTTTTTTTTATTGCTTTTGTTTATTACAATTGTCACCTTTTTCACCTAACTTTGCAGTTTTAGAATGAGTACTTAAGTAGTATTAAAAAACAAAACCTTTGCCTTTTTGAAGATATATGTTCATGTCGTTGTTACTTTAATCTTTTAAAAAGTTACTTCAACGAAGTTTAACACCGTCGTTTCTTTGAGTTTCTCGGGTGTGAAATATGTCGCACATTAAGAGCCAGTATAAGAAGGGTAATTTCTGGAGCAACGTTGAAAATAAGGCAACGAGTAGAAGAAGAAAAAGGAAGAAGAAGTAGAAGAAGAAAAAGAAGAAGAAGCAGCAGAATAAGAAGAAGTAGACTCAGAAGAAGGAGAAGAAGAAGAAGAAATACGAATGGTATTGCCCTGAGACCTTGTGGCCCAGAAAATCCCAAAAGAACTGGATCCATTTTGCGTGGGAGTTCTTGCTCAAGGTCCTCGCTTTATTATGTCTGTATAACTGTACATAACGATGTTCGATCGTCTCCCAAGGAATCCTTTTTCTTTTTTTTTCTCCCCACCTCTGTATTCGCCACTTTTCGACTCGTGTAAACATCTTGGAACTCGCATTTAAATTATCCTTACCCTTGGTAGAACATAAAAGTGTATATATCTTTCGATTAAAAGGATTAACAGCCTGTAAGAGAATTTTCTACGAAAATCATGCCTTCTACGTAGAATATAATCACGCGAAGAGAGAGAGAGAGGGAGAGAGACAGAGAAAGGGTGGGAGAAAAAGAGAGAGATGAAACGAAAGAGTGAGTTATAAATTTAATGGCGTTAATGATAAAGTTGCATTCACAAGGTTGCATTAAGTCGAGAGAGAACAAGGGTCTCGCAACTAAATAGAGAAAGAAAAAGCATCGTGACATCGGCACGCAGATCTTAACGATAATACACAGTAACTCTTAATGGCTTCTTTTCTTTCGAATGCTAAGAGCACCTCTTTGTTATCATTCTCTGATAGATATATGTACCATTTTTGACTTTCCTTTCGAATGCAAATCTACTTAACGTTTCTTTTTCCTCCCCTTCTTCTTCTTTTTCTTTTTTTATATATAGCACATCGAATATCTTCTCTTTTGATAATGGCTTTAAGAATTTATTTTAATGGCCGATAAAAGTTTGATATAAAGGACAATCGCCTTTCTTTGTTCGTTTGCCGATACATTCAAAGGATTTCGTAGGAGGAAGTACGATAAAAAAAAAAAAGAAAGAAAGAAAGAAAGAAAGAGAAAAAAGAAAACAAGGTGAAATATAATGAAAAATGAATTAGAAAAAAGGAAGCGAAAAAGAAAGAGAAGACAAGAGAAATCGATGATGGAATTTCAATCCAGGGTACGAATGAAGCCATTATGAATCCTAAGAGTTGAATTCCGTGAATCGGCGCTTCCACAGCATGACACCCCGATCTTGTCCTTCGTCTCTCTATTTGGTGTGTTAGCGTAACGGATTGTCCCTGCGCCCGTAACGACGAGCCGTTCGCCAATTTTTATTGGTCGAACTTGAAGCCGGAATCGAGCGAAAGTACCTTCGAGCGCGCGCGCAATTATCTGACCGGCCTCCCGTTGCTTCTTGATTTATATTGGTATGAGAAACTTAAGCTTACGACGACCTTCGTTCGCCGATAGTAGAACCTCGTTGATCTTCGACGTTTGCCGTATCTCTCTTTCGGGATAGAGAGAGAGAGAGAGAGAGAGAGAGAGAGAGAGAGAGAGAGAGAGAAAGAGAAAGAGAGAGAGAGAAAGAGAACTAGAGCTTAATATTAATCTATCTACTATCACAATATCAATCTACTACTGGAAAAACAAACGATCCATCTCTTTTCAAAGAAATTCTATACGAGTTTCGCAAACGTTTATCTGAGAATGATAAAGTGTTAGAGATATAGAGAAAGAAAAAACGAGAGAGAAAGAGAAAGAGAGAGAGAAAGAGAAAGAGAGAGAGAAAGAGAAAGAGAGAGAGAGAGAGAAAGAGGGAGTGAGGAAGGGAGAGCTTACTATTCTGCGAAATCGTTGTACGGTAACGAGATTTCCTCGACCGTTTCCAATAGCAATAAGATGCAGGAAGAGCTGGGTGTGCATAGGGCAAGCTCCTTTATAGCATCCTGACCATAAACGTGAGCAGCCTTTGTCCGAGTAACAGTACTTTTGCCCATTCTCTCTTTCTCTCTCTCTCTCACTCAATCTCTTTTTCTCTTTCTCTCTCTCTCTCTCTCTCTCTCTTTTTCTCTTTTTCTCTTCTTCTCTTTTTCTCTCTCTCTCCCTCTCTATCTTTCCTCCATGCAACGCAATAAACTTTACTCTTACTGTTATATTCTCTTTCTCTTTCTCTCTTACTTCTCTATATGCATATGCAGGACGAGCTGAGATCTTCCCAACGAATCGTACTCTTTTTTGGATATTTCCATGTTAAACTCATGCTCTCAAACAAAGATAAAAAGATATACTATTTAAGGGCCACTATTTATATTTTAAATTCACGAATCTTATCCTTCTTCAGCGACACGAATTACCTCTCGTCTCGTTAACTTCTTTGGGTTACGAATCGAATAATGCGCCTTTTATTAAAAGAAGCAAATAAGATTCCAAAATAAGAAGCATAAGTGCTGAATTCGACGACGACGATGACGGCGGCGAAGAAACGATGCGCACGAAATGATAAGGTAATGTGGATTTGCTCAGGCGACACGAGGATTACGAATGCTCGATCCGCGAACACGATATGCATAAGAGTGATATACTTCGAAGCACGACTTTCATTCCTAATTACAACGCCGGGATATAAGTATCCGAGTAGTTCCGCGTACGAGTCTCTTTTGAGTTACAAAACTCAAAACATTTCGTCATTAATTTTCATTTTATCCGTTTGAAATAGCGTTTACGACGACGTATTAAAAATATCCGTTTTTTATGTAAAATACGACAAAATAGAGAAACTAGTGTTTTGTTCTTTTTCTCTTTAATATATTACTTACTTACCGTGAGGAAGGACGAAAAGAAAACTAGTATATTTACTATATTGATTACTCTATGAATACAATAACTCTAACCTCGAGATGCTTGTTCCTAATATTGTTAAATTAGGTAAGCTCGATCTATACGAAATGACGATTGTTACCACGTCGTGTTTCCGATACTTACATATATACGTTCCATTTTGCGCTTACGTTTCATAAAGAAACGAACATTCTCGGTGACGGTTAAGAAAAGGTTAAACTAGCTACCTAGTTAGCTTGCTCGCTTTGAGATCAACCGCAGCTGTAGGTCTCTAGGTAGCTAGAAATGGCAGCTGCAGCTGTCGTTGTAATTTGCGATCCGTTTCACGTCGCCTTCGTGAACGCGATAGAAAGAGGCGGAGGAGGAGGAGGAGAAGGAGATTCGAAAGATCGAGACCTCAAAGCGTTGGGCTTTAACATCAGCATCAGCATCAGCATCAGCATCAACATCAGCCACATACTCTTTCAACCCGATGTTGTTGATCGATACAGCAAATACTTAGAACGTCGTCGTAGTTAAAAGTAATCTATCTACGACAAAGTTAAAGAAGAACTAAGTAAGATCTGCTCGAGATAGTTCGAATTATTAGACTATTACTCGAGAGGATCTTGCAAGAAGGAAGAAACTAACAGATCGATCTTCTCTTACTGTTATTTAGAAAGCGCCGGCACGTGTTTCACTACTTGAATTTCAAGAATCACGTCGTCACGTCGAAGTATCGCACTGAACATCAATACCAGGCAAAACCAACCAGTGCCTTTTTCTTAGGTAAGTAATCTCTCCGGGTCGTCTATCGTAAGCCGAGAACTACGTTCTACATTCCATTGTCGATCCGAAAGATCTGGACCAGGAGACATGTCGAAAACCGTGAAACTTAAACGGATTTACATATCCGAGATGACCCGACGTACTGTGACTCCTTTTTGCTCGTGTCTCGCTTAATTAGTAAAAGATCTTGATTCACGTCCCGTATTTCGCACGTGCTACTTTTTAACTTAGGTTTAACCATTAATTTTTCGGATTAGCGTAGAATTATGTGACTAATACTAAGTTTCTGGGATCCATCAATTTGACAGGTTTTAGATTTCACGAGTAAAATTACAAAAACCATTACTATTATTTTCTTCCATTTTTTGTTGAATTTTATTGATACAATGAAAGAAAAAAGTAAATACTAAAAAATTATAATTCAACGGAGATATCGTTTGATGACGTCGTACCCAATATCAATAATTCTCGGATTCACCGGCACAAGGGAAGCAAAGAGACAGTCGAGCAATTTTGTATCCTCATGAGGAGCATATTAAGTAAGATCATTGAAACCTTCTTATTTATGTTTCAAGAAATGGGGCCCATTTTTATTTTCAGACATTCAGATTCTATAAGACGTTTTGACAAGAAAACACAACGATCTAAACGTTCACGTATAGATAAGTAGTTTTCCCTAATATCCGAAACATAGAGTAAATTTATAGACAATAGTCAAGCGTGTTATAAGCCGTACGAAAATATTTGAATTGATAAACAATTGTTTCCTACGAAAGTTCGATGCCATTTTACATAATATATGTCTGATAAATCTCATAAATTTGGCATAAAAATGTATTATATATATGTTTTTCATATTTGGATAAAGTTTCTTATATAATATTTGGATAAACTTGGAACCTGATCTTCGACACCTTTCGGGGTATTAGTAATCTTAAAATTAACCGAACCATATTTACGCCAAAGAAAAAATATAACTACAGATAATTTTTTCATTAGTATACCACTTGCAAAAAAATTACTTACACAATAAACAACTTTGGTTGGGATTATCCTGGTGAACAAGAGAAAGTTACTGAAACCAGCAAAAAGGATGCAAAGATAAAAAGATAAAATGAATCGATTTTTCTCACTGCATTCTCACCATTTAGCACAATAAACCGAAAATAAAAGTATTGTTACTAAGCACAAAATATACATTTGTGAAAGTTGAGAACAAACGTGTCCCGGAAACAATTAAATTTTATAATAAGAATAAGTTTGGAGTAGATGTAGTCAATCAAATTGGGCACAAATACAGTGTGAAAGCAAGGTATTTCCGATAATCTCTTCAGGTTTTTTTATAATATTTTGAATTCACTAGTTATAAATGTCTTGATATTGTACAAAAATGTACTGATTCTAAAATATCCAGAAAAAATTTTATATTTCAGTTGGCCGGAGAACTTATCAACGAATATAAGAAAAACGAACAAACGATTCTTCTTCCATTAATTAGCAATTCGTATAGTAAAAGTTTGAATAAATTAATATAAGTTAATTAAATTTGTTAATATTATATAAGTAAATTAAGTCTGTTAATATTTTTATTGTTTTTAAATTAAATTAATCGCTTTTATTTTTTTCTTTTTTAAGAAAATACGTGATTTTCTTTACCTGTCAATTTGACGGGCGTTCGTAAAAATAATTGAATACAATAAACGTCCGTAAACCTAGTGTTAAGAAAGGTTCAGCAAAGATTTTTACGTGAGAAAGAACTTAAATTCGTTTACACCGTGTCTTTTATTTGTTTGTTTTTTTTTTCTTCTTTGGACACTCGTCATTTTTCATTTTCATTCCACGGATTTAAAATATAATACAAGGAAAAAATTCATAGCGATAAATCTGTATACACCGATATATCGTATACACCGATTGAGGATGATATTTATCGAATGATCGAAGTGAGATCGTGACCGAGTCATGGCGATGATCGATTCGAGCGTCGAGTAACCAAAGCACCTTACATCGCGATGCCACGTAACCGCGTGGGCAGTTCGTGATAAACCATTAACGTTATGTACAAAGATATTACGAGGCTCTGGAGTCTATTACATAAAAACAGAGACACAAAGCAGTGTTCAACGATCGCCCACGTATCGTGAGTTTTATATATATATATATATATATATATATATATATATATATGTACACCTATATACATAGTTATACCATGGTACATGGACACGTTAGCGCGATATAATTCTGTATGGTGAGTTTGCTCATTAAGAGTGCTGGTCCAATTACACGAATCTGTCGATCGATCGAACGACTTCGATCCTATCGATCTTTCCAAGAAAGGAAAAGACAGAAAAAAAGAGAAAGAGAGAGAGAGAGAGAGAGAAAAATAAGAGAGAGAGGGAGAACTCCCCCAGGAAGTCGAAGGTATAGTTACATCGTTGATTTCGATTCCTCTTCCTGTCCTCGGAGATAACGAGAAATTTATATTCGATCCGTCTACACTTTCACTTTATGTATAAGAGTGATTTTCGACGACAGCTTTTAGATTCTGGATTTAATAGTATATATTATGTGACTTTATGTTTCATTCCATCATCAAATACTTTACATTTCTCTCTCTCTCTCTCTCTCTCTCTCTCGAAATAGAAACTAAAAAATTCTTTTCTGATTATTTCCTTGTCTACTGATAACAGAAAACGATAAGGATATTTTCTTGGTCATCCTCGAGCGATAAAAATCATTCGTTTCGCACGAAAAATCCCATATTTCGTCGTAAGCTATCTTCTCATTTTCTCTCTCTCTCTCTCTCTCTCTCTCTCTCTCTATCTCTCTCTCTCTCTCTCTCTCTCTCTCTCTCTCTCTCTCTATCTCTCTCTCTCTCTCTCTCTCTCTATCTCTCTCTCTCTCTCTCTCTCTCTTTCTCTCTCTCTCCTTCTCTTTTCTATCTATCTATCTATCTATCTATCTCTTTCTATCCCACTCGAGTAAAAGATAGAAGAACAGTGAGGAGAAGGAGAAAAAGGAGGAGAGGAAAGAGGAGAAGGGGAAGAAGAAGAAGAAGAAGAAGATAAATAATTTCGCAGAAAACGTACAAGTCAACGTTGTCGTTGTCGTCGTATCGAATCGTTTCGTTCCCCTCGATTTCATTCGAGCGACGGACGATCCCAACTATGTCGCCGGTCTCCGGAGTGATTTAACTCCGGGCAATTAAAGCGTAGCAAAAGCGAAGAGATTGCCGATAGTTACGGCAATGGAGGATATCTCCCCATAGCCGCAAGAAAACTTATCAACATTTAAAAAGCGGTAATAAGTCGACTGTAAAAAGCACGTCGTTGGAGTCTATCGTACGAGAAGACGAAAGGAGTTTGAGCACAGGGCATCGAGATTACCGTTTTCCAGTCTTCCTTCTACAGAGACGCAAAGAAAACGAAGATCAAGTGAGAAGGAGTAAAGATGAAAGGAGAAAGAGGGATAACCCGAAGAAGAGGTTTCGAGTTTTCTCTCGTCTCTCTAAGAGCCGAAGAGAGAATACTAAGATAGATAGAGAGAGAGAGAGAGAGAGAGAGAGACAGAAAGAGAGAGAATCTTCCAGCGAGCAGAATTAACGGGCAATCTCGCATGATAACCATTAATTGCGAAGCGCCGAGCGAATACCTGGATATTACAAATCGTTTATGCTCAGAACCAAAGTCCCTCATCAGATAATTTTTATGTAGCACGATAGGGACACGAACTAGTAGACAATAATAAAGGGAGGTAAGGAATAATAGAGAAGGAAGGGGGTCAAAGAGAGAGCCTGAAAGAAACTTAAGAAGAGGTAATCAAGATCTCTCTCTCTCTCTCTCTCTCTCTCTCTCTCTCTCTTAGAGGGGAGAGGGTAGGTTCTTTTTCGCTGGTGGTAGGTATTATCGATGATAATAATCATGGTGACCTTCGATCGTTCACGTCTTTGTGTTAACCACCCATCCTTATTCTCATCCAACCTGATATAAAATATAAAATGAAAAAAAATATAAAAGAAATAATAAAAACAGGCAAGTCAAATTCTCGAAATCTCGATCCATAAAGATCCGTCTCTTAACCCAGAGATTTTTACGTGAGGCATTCACATAAGAAAATGTCAGAACGGCGTACGACGAGCGTCCTCATCGCCATCGTCATAATCATCGTCGTCGTCGTCGTCGTCGTCGTAAAAAGATAGGCATTCGGAGAATCCGAGAAAGTAATGCGTACGGTAAAGGGTTAATTCGTTGGCGAATTATCCTTTGTAAATAGGTCTGCCCTCTTGACCGCAAATCGTTAGGCTCGCTAATGAAAGGGTAATGAGACATTAATGTATTAAATATATCAAAGAGAAAGAGAAAGAAGAAGAGAGAGAGAGAGAGAAAGAGAGAGAAAGTAAAATCGACTACCGTTTATGAGTTGGTTCTTTCTTCAGTTTCGTGGGAAAGTCGTGTAAATTATACTTCGCGTGATAAGACCCGGCAAGAATCTCTCGCAGTTCCTCTAACATTCTGGGGAAACGTAAAAAGAGATTAGCGTCGGCAGATGAAAGGAAGAGTCCGGATAGTAGGTGAGAGAAAGAAAGAAAGATAGAGAGAGAGAGAGAGTGTGAGTATATAAGCATTCAAGGATGCAAGGATAATTCTTACCTCGGTGGAATGGGCTCTTGCATGCTTGACATGTTTCGACCGAATAAACTGTTCAGACATGTCACACGAATTTACGATGAGATCTTCCAAAGAGATTTACACGTATACATGCGTACTTATGTATTGTCGCTTCGAGGCTGCTTTTTTTTTGTTTCTTTTCTTCTTCTTTTTCTTTTTTTCTTTTTTTTTTTTTTAACTACGTATTCATTCTCTTCCTCGAATTCATTTTTCCATCTCGTTTCTGTAAACATAATATTTCGTATATCTTAGTTTTATTTTTACAAGAAGATTGTCCTGGATATTCATTTTGTGAAATAAATTTTAGAAGAAAGAGAAAGAGAGAGAGAGAGAAAGAGAGAAAAGATCTCAAGTAAATGAGCTAGAGCGAGCGTAGTCACCACGGTGAAAATATCACTTACGTCAGTACTGTCTTTGGTAGCTGATGGAGAAAAAAAGATAAAAGAAGAAAAAAACATTACCGATGTAGGTCGCTCCGCGAATATAATCTTACGGTATTGTAACGAGGTAATCCATTTATCTGGATGAAGGTGGATGGATGATAACAACATCCGGTGAATATTATGTCGCACATTTATGAAGAAACAGGAAATATGCGAAGGTGTTGGCTAAATTTGAATTTAACGAATCAAGAAGAGATTCGCGATAACGCTTTCTAGATAAGATCTTCTCGTACGCGAAATGACTGTACGTTATGTTCCTGGTATTATTCAATGGAATATGTAAGTTAACGTGACTCGACTGAACATCATTTTATTTTCGATATCCAATAGATAGATATTTCGATATCCTACACATCGAAATATTTTTTATTACGTTACTAATCGATCGATTTTATCGACTTAAATCAACTTTAAACATAATTGATATTAATTTATATGAATATGAATGTTAGAAAGAAAAATCTGAAATAAATTTCATTTATATATTTCGAGATTTGAACGCGGAAATTATTCACTCTCTTAGTTTTAATTGCCTCTAACTTTTTCTTTTATTTTTCTTATCCGATTATCGTTTACATTTTATCATTATTTTCCAACGTTTCTTCACTGTCGCGCTAATTCACTGTAAATTATCGCGCTCTTACGATTATTACATTAATTAGGCATTTTAGATCTGATTTTATATTAATAATACATAAGTATAAATATATATTATATCGCAAAAATCACTGATTATTATTCGACAAATATTTCGCAAATATTTTTTACTTTTCTTATTGCAAGATTATAGAAAGTAACAAGTAAAGTAATTATATATGTAATTATATGTATCAGCGTAATATTTATTCCACCCTCTAGATGTCGAAATGGGAAAAAAATGTAACTAAAGGAGTTTGATTCGATTCGCCGAGCAGAAGTAACGCGCGAGCTCGCGCAAGAATTCTCGAAAAGGAATAGAGAGCGATCTTGTCGTCAACGCGTCGTCTGTTGTAAAGTCCATGGTAACGCGATACGTGGATCGTTCGGCTCTCTGAAGAGGAACGAGAGACCACACGCGCGCGCTACGTCAGAGAAATCCAGTGGTCGAACCCTCTCCAGCGTGTTTCATCTCCTGCGAAGAGTAAAAGAGATAGAAAGAGAAAAAGATAGAACATCATTTATCTTTATCTACCTTTCTTTCTCTCTCTCTCTCTCTCTCTCTCTCTCTCTTTCTTTCTCTTTCGCCTCGTCTCTTCGAACAAGCCGCAAATCATCGGACGATCTTAATTATAGATTCCCGCGATAGATCTTTTTTTTCTTCTTTTTTTTTTTTCTTTTTCGATTGATCGGCGATGATCCGCTCGCGATCGAGCCGCGGTCTTGTCGTTCGATCCACGCTCATGAACGGCGACAACTCAGACGACGACTTGCATTAGACTCGCTCGATGTGAAACTCGAGAACCGATCTTCGTGCTTTCCTACGATCCGAACGATCGATAGATCGTTTCCATCGATTCCATCTTGTCCTCGAGCGAGAAGAGTCATATCCTCCTGCGAACTCGCTTATCTCTTATCGTTTCCTCTATACTTCCACTCGACTTCGAACAGGAAATTTACGACTCGTTTTCTTTATTGTTGGAAAATAAATGGACATTTATGAAAGAGAATCGAACATAATTATATACATATATATATACATACACACACATTTATATATATATATATATATATATATATATATATATATGCCTACTTATAATGCTAATCGTTTCGATCAATTTGTCAACGAGCTTGAGAACGTGAAAAGTTATCGGACGTAAATTAATTTTGTACGAGCTTGAATTCGACTACTAGCTCTCGACTGTGTCTCAAACGTCTCGTAATTACTTTCGTTTCGAACGTTATTTATTCGGCCACCCCGATAAACGGTCCTCTCATTGATTTAACTTTATGTAGGCCGATATTGGCCAAGCGATTCGCTTACAAGGCGATCAGGATTGTCGAGTATATATCATCGGTCGGGATCTTAATAAAGATAAACTGGATCGATGCCGTACCTTACCGGATAAAAGTAAGATCGATACATGCATATATGTAGGTACTATATATATGTATATTGTAGGAATATATATATTCGAGATTTTTTATTTTCTTTTTTTTCTTCCTTCTCTGTTCTTTTTTTTTTTTCTTTTTTCTTTTGCACACTGCCCCCTTTTAACGACCAATCGAAAGTTGAGTTTTTACGAATCTCGAGTAGCAATCACAAAACTGTCGTTGATTTTTCCATTTAATAATAACCATAGCCGAGACGAGCTACGTATTACGATGTCAGCAATAAAATAAATTAATTAACACGTAAATTAAGGATAAAGATTGGAACGTTCGTCAATAAGACGACGGTTTATTTTCGTCGACGTAGCGTTACATGGTATGTAATATGGTGTACGAGAGCCGATTGCGAGTTCTTTCTCTCTGTTTCATCGAAAGGTCACAATCGCGTTAAATACGAGCTCGTTGCGTGCGAGCGATCTGGTTCGTAAGTGCAAAACACGTTAATAAATCGCCTACGTCCGATAAATAGCGAGTGTCGCAATTCTTTGCCCAGGCTCGACTTCCATTTTGAAAAAAAAGAAAAAGAAAAAAAACGAAAGGAAGAAAGAAAAAAATAAGAAAAGAATAAAAAAAAAACAAGAAAAAAACTAAAATAAAAGAAAGAACAAAAAAGGAAAGCAAAAGAGAGAGAGAGAGAGAGAGAGAAGAAGAAAGGAGAGAATAAAAAAAGAAAAGAAAAGAAAAGAAAAGGAAGAAAATATTTTAATGGCTTTTTCGATTCGCATTTCCTCGCTACTTTATGTACGCTTTTAAAAGAGATCGTTTTTCATGAGCATGCAGTCACGCTCGTTCGTCGTGGAAAAGTATAAGCGCAGAATGCATTCCAACGTGCTTCTGGAGGTAAAAATAATTTCGACGGGCTCAAAGGAAAAGGCAAACACCGGCGACCGCGGCGAACACGTCTTCGAACGATCGTCGTTCTCTTCGTACTCGCAATAAATCCGCTAATGAGTCATGAGTAGCTAGAAAAGCGAGGAAACCGCGTTTATCGTCCCGGCACTTTATCTGATCCGCGTGTTCTCGAATGTTTTAAAAAGGAGCAATATGTTCGCACGTGCTTATGCCAAGCGCTGTGGACAAGTTACGCGTTCGAAGATAAAATCTTGCGTTTTGAAAAATTTCGAACGATAAATTTTATTATCGGAGTCACGTTGTCGCTCGATCCTATCGACAAATAGATAGACATATCCATCATTGGAACGTATAATGCGAATGATCAACGAACGTGGATATTTTTCTTTCCGTAAAAAAAAAAAAGAAAAGAAAAGAAAAGGAAAAAAAAGGAGAAAAGAAATTAAGAAAGATCTCGAGAACTAGTAAAATTTTTTCTATTCTTCATTTTATATTCACGTATATGTTAAGTAACAAGCGAAAAAGTTATCAATGCCCAGTGTAGAAGCAAAACCTTAATAATTAGACTTTTAGAGACTCAGTTTATGATCTAAGATTCCAACACCAAACGTCTTAACACAAGTTGGTCTTCTTCGCGCAAATGTCGAAATATATATAAATATATAAATTGTCTACCTTGACTCTGTCGACCACCACCTTGTACCTCTCTCTTTATCTCTATTTCTCTCTCTCTCTCTCTTTTTCTCTTTCTCACTTTCTCTCTTTTAACTATCGGCTTCAGAAGCCCGCATCGAAAAGAGAAAAGGAAACAATGAAATAAACCTTTTTATCTAACAAATGCAGTAATGATGACTGGTATATACTTACGTAATATGTACATATTTATACGGATACTTACTATGTTTTCTTATTCAAGATCGAACTTTCAAATATGATCTTAAACGATGTTAGAAGACGAGATCAAAGGAAATACATAGAGTAAGAAAGCATTTTTCTGCTTTTTGTGATCGCAACATCGACTATCGCAAGAGATAGTAATTAACAAATGGAACGTAATTCTTCGACTCGATTTCATCAGTCTTGAGGTTGCTTCTGGTTGCAACAAAACGTCTTTTCTATTGCTCGTCCTCGACTTCGTCGCGGGCTATTGAGTAATGGCAATAATAAAGAGTAACATTATCGAGAAACTTTTTGTGGGTGGGCGTGAATGATCGAGTCATGGCGAACTCGCAAGTGGGCGACGCAATTTAATGCGAAACTCAGTATCGATAAAATACAGTCGTCTCGAACGATCTTGGAATTCGGACGTCATCGTTTCATCCAATTCAACTATAAATGCTTACTTATACGACCTTTTTTTTTTTATTTATTTATTTCTTTTTTGCATAAATATGTCATTGAATTAATTGACGTAAGTTGAATATTTTCATTATGCGTAATAGTCAAAAGATAAGATGATAGTTTTATTTATGGATTATGTCACATTTACGTAACAAAAATCATATCTTCAATTCGAAACATAAAATAATATTTATTTTTAAAAGATGAAAATACAAAGGAATATTAAGAGAAATAGATGATTATTCCAGAATTTAGAAAAAATATTGTCATTGTTGTTATGTATTTTTCATTGCTACCTTGGTGCGAAGGTGTACATGTGCATTCGCACGCCACGAATCCGCGAACGCGATCGAGCGCACCTAATGCCTCTCGCTCCTATAAATCGCGACTCTATAAATAGACAAAGTGATATTTAACGCTTGACATTAAAGACCGCACACCAGCCTCTCACTCTCTTTCTCTCTCTTTCTCTTTCTCTTTCTCTTTCTTTTTCTCTTTCTTTTTCTTCCTCATTCGAGAGTATCTTCTTAAGTGTGTGTGTGTGTGTGTGTGTATGTGTGCGCGTGTGTGTATATGTATATGCGTTATGAATGTCGAGAGACGTTTAACCCTTTAGGCCAGCTGGGATTTATTTTATCGATGCTGGCCCACGACTAAATCGATATTTATTCCTCCATACGAAACGCACTGCGTAGTCTTTGAACGGCTCGAAAATATTCGAGACAGGTAATATTAATTTCTTCTTATTAACGTAACCTATCGGTAAAGATGTATAAGTAGAAACAGTCAGTTCATCATTTCAAATACCTAAAACACGTCGTCCTTCATTTTTATATATTAAAAAAAAAAGAAAAAAATAAAAGGAAAAGAAAAAAGGAAAGAAAGAGAAAGGCAAAATATTAGAAATTTATTGTATCTCGCCGAAAATATAATATTATTATCGACGTTACGCATTCTCGATAATCGATATAATATTTCGATCGACGAAAATTTCATCGATTTGTAATTCATTTCATTAGAATACAATGGCACCGTATATACCAACCGTTTGCAATAATCTTGTAAGTACTTACCTTAGTAGTTGAGGATTATTAACGCTACGAGAGACATAAAGGAGGATGTTTCGATATTAACATACAATGATATATTACAAACTTTTCCTATAAACAATATACTCCAAGCACGAAGGGATACTATAATTATGTTTCATAGGGAACGTCTCAGTGGGTACGACTTAACGAATGTTAGAAAGGCGTTGAAGTCTCCGGGTTCATTCATCGTTTCTCGAATATTGAATAAATCGACTCGAGAAAACATTGATCTACATTTATTCGCGGAAATGTGAATTCCTTTCTAGGTATTTGACGAATGCAAAATGAAAATTTCCATATACGAAAATACTTCTTCTCGTCTATCGAAATTGATATCTTCAAAACTTTATTGCTTTATGTGCTTGTTTCGAACTTAATTTTAACTTTCTGATATCTTGATCATTTCAATTTCTCGAACTCGTTTTCTCAAATTGTATAGAAAAAGAGAGAAAGAGAGAGAAAGAGAGAGAGAGAGAGAGAGAGAGAGAAAGAGAAAAAATCGAGATACGATCAGTTTGATGAATTTCAACAAAACCTGAAAATATCAGCACCAACGCTGAGGATAACTATGCGATTTTATAGTATTTCTTCGTTCTTTCTTTATATCCCGCATGGATCCAAAGAAGACGTCCGAGAACGTCGAGCATTAAATACCATAATGTGAGTTTCACAGTTGGCGATGCATAAAATAGAAATGAACAGATACTCCGTGTTTTAGATACGCTCGAGCGTAATTTTGCGCGAGTTAAAGTTTAAATCCCTTTCGTGCCTGCATTTCATGCTGAACGCCGTTCCTCGTGCCGTTTTCTCGTAGGTATAATTTCTTTAAGGAAAAGGACGCCGTTATTTATGAGCGTCGGTCATCTCAGATATTATCCACGAATAAGATCTCTCTTTTGGTTCTATACGCGTAAGTTTAACGACTCGATCAATGGTGTTTCTATTAATTTTATCGAATTATCGGTGGAAAGAATTCATAAAGTCGCTTCTGCCTCTCTCTCTCTCTTTCTCTCTTTCTTTTTCTCTATCTATCTATCTATTTATCTATCTATCTCTTTCTCTCTATCTATCTCTCTTTTTCTTTCTCTCGTATATATGTAGCAGTAGCTCAGTTTAGTAGCCTTCTTGTTTTGAAATACGATTGAAAATTCTATCGAACTTATCTTATACGTATTTCGATCGATTATTTCAAACATCGTAGTATAGATGCGCGAAGAAATAAAATTTAAAAATTCTGAACCAACAACGAAGATCGTAACTATGTCGTTCATAATATTCTCGTAACGTATTATGAAAGTACTTACACGTTACGAATCATGAACCTGCACGAGTAAAACCTTTCCTGATTTCATTCGAATTCTCGGCTTGAAACAATTTATTACTTCCCACCAACTCATAGATATAATATACACACAACACATAAGCTCGTATTTAAGTACATTTCGAGAGATGCCGGAAATCATAATACCGAATTGGCGAACACAGTATTAAGTGGTATTTCGTGTTACTACAGCAAACTCGAAAAGTTATGGAATTCCACGCGTTCCTTATAAACGTTCGAACTTGTTAGCGCGTTTAAACGACCTCACGATTGTTCAGACATCCTGTTTCTGTTTTCTCTGCAGCTGCGAGACTAGCGCATCCGTGAAGCATTAAGGATTCATAAATACTTCGGCAAATTACCCACGTTTAAAAAAAAAAAAGAAACAGAAAAATACAATACTGGCTACCACGTACGTACATACATACATACATACATACGTTCGTTCGTTCGTTCATTCGTTCATTCGTTCATTCGTTCATTCGTTCATTCGTTCATTCGTTCATTCGTTCGTTCGTTCGTAATTATATTTGCCGATCGGGTTAATTTCACATAAGTATGATTTTGCCGACTACGAATGAGTTCTCAAGAAACTTCTCTAATATGATTCTATAATTATGAAAGACTGGGGCAAGTCAATAAATTTTTCAGTTTTTCATTTTTACCGTTTTTATTTCTATTAATTACTTAATAAAAAAAAATGTTCAAATATACCACAGTTCTATATCTTTACAAATCGTTAATGAAACTTATGAAAAAATACATATAAAAGAAAATTTGATTTGACTAAATCAAAATATATCGATTTATTTCACTGCGTGACAAGTAAAATTTAAAATATCTAATACTACACCAAATTACATATACCAGATGTATGTAGGTAATTTCAATTCATTGACCTGCTCCCGATCTCTCAGTTGAAAAACGATTCCTTAGGAATCTCATAATACTTGTAATTTAAGCGTACCGTTTAACAGAGAAAAAACCGATTGATACAATTTGTAATGCGATATTTTTATTTGATTTTCGAGTCGACAATGATATTTTCAACGAATACCATCAATAAAAGGGAAAAATATCCTGAAAGAAAAGAAAAAAAGCAAGAAAAGAGTAAGAAGAAAAAAAAACAAAAAAAGAAAAAACAAGAAAGAAACGAATCGTAAATAATCGAGCGCTCGCATTATGCAAATTTACGGCGCCATTCCGACACATTAGCGAATACCTATCATTAGGTCTATTAACAACACCTTTGCCGTTACCACCACTATGTCCTCGTATCGCGTCGATCGATTCGGCTCAGCCTCCTTCTCAAGACGAGACTTGGATATTAATGCACCTCCGAGTTTTCCGGATAGGCATCTTCGCGACCTGATAAATCGCCTTCTCTTTTCTACCTCCTATATATATACCTTCGGCTTCGATCATATACTCTATAATTACGGTACGCAACGAAAGTGTTGCACGTAGCCCTTCGCCTTCGGCTCGACTTGGCTTGGCTTGCTCGCGAAAGCCGACTGCCCACGTTCGTCGATCGGATTTTATTTTTCCAAACTTTTACGGATCGCATCGGAGTAAGAATTCCTTCGGAGAATTCAACCGTGGAATTCATTGCTCACGAGCCATGTTGAACCGATCCTCTTCTTCGCGGTTTCATGGCGAAGCCCCTAGAATTAGTCCGTGTCATCTCGTATCATCTTCGTAATTATTTCTTTAACCGTGTAAATAATTAAGTATATTATTTAAAGCGCCTGTAATTCGTCTCTCGAATGCAATCACGTTTTTTATTTCTTTTTTTCTTTCTTTCTTTCTTTCTTTTTTTTTTCTCCCCGCCCGTTTGGCAGTCTTTGCCCGATTCATCAGAAATTATTTCTTTGTTTCTTGAAGAAGACAACCACGGACAAGATCTTCGGAAGAATCTTGGGGAAATAAAGTTCCTGTTGGGCTCGTGTTTCTTCTGGTGTCCTGATAAAAAAAAAAAATAGTTGGAATAAAAGAAAGAAAGAAAGAAAGAAAGAAAGAAAGAAAGAAAGAAAAAACGAAGGAAAGGGTAAAGAAAATAAAAAAGGGGATAAAAGAATGGGTCCGTGGGCGGGCGACCTCGGTTCCACGTCTGCCGAAGAGATAACTTTACCATCCACGGTGTTTCTATAAATATCCATCGAGCGTGTACCACCCGGAGTTGAATAAGGTGCACACGCCCATTCCCGAGTAACGGCTAAACCCACAAGCGATTCGAAGTCGAGCCTGAAAAATGGCCAGCCTGAATAGAGCTTGTGTTTCATTCAACCGCTTCTCTCTCTTTCTCTTTTTCTTTCTCTTTTTCTTTTTCTTTCTCTTTCTCTTTATCTCTCTTTCATCCTCCACCGCGAATCGATGAGTTACTCGAGCAGCTTTACCGGTCGTTGACTTCGCGGAAGTAGACAAGTTAGATAAGATTCATAATATCTCGATGTGTTACAGGTTAAACGAGATATCGAATTTACCTATTAATAATATATTCTCCAAATTGTGTTTTATCCTTTATGTCTTTTGTATATTCGAATCTTTTCGTTTTAAGACGTGATCGTTAAAATTAGAAAAGAAGATGAACGAAAGCCATTCTGATCGTCCGGTTTCAGGTAGATCGGGACTGACTCTGATTGAACTCGTCGAGTCTCGCGATTCGCGTAGGAATGCAGAATGCTGCGTACCGGTAACTGCTGCAGCCGGATAGGTGAGACGACAGTTTTCCGTATAAGCGAGCGGAACGAGATAGAATGGATGCTGAACGCTCGAAGGATCGGCTCTGGCGATATACACCACTGGAAGGGGTGAGGAGAAAGAGAGAAAGAGACTGAAAGAAATAGAGAGAGAGAGAGAGAGAGAGAAAGAGAGAGATAGAGATAGAGATAGAGAGAGAGAGAGAGATAGAGAGAGAGAGAGAGAGAGAGAGAGAGAGAGAGAGAGAGAAAGAAGAGAGAAATGGAGGGAGAAGGATGGGTCTCACGAGCAAAAGGATGAGAAAGAGAGAAGGGGTAAAAGAAGAGAGACAGATAGAAAGGAGAGAGAAAGAGAGAGAGGCTCGACCGGGCGTCGGCGGCCGGCCTTGCAAGGACGCTCTCCCTTGCTTCTTGCCTCATGCGCATGCTCTCGACGTTACTTCGTTTGCGCGAGCGCGTTCGCTAACTTGCGAGAACGTAGAAACCGGCCGGAGCACTGGACCGTAAGCACTGGTCCCGAATCTTGCGTAACTCTACTCTTCGTCTTTTCTATTTTCACGACCTTATACAATAATAATTGACTAAAGACTTCCATCGATCGAAATATTTCTATGAAATATTTGAGAAACAACTCTCTCTCTCTCTCTCTCTCTCTCTCTTTTTATTTTTTTCTTTCTTCATTTTCTTTAAATCTTGTTTCTTTTGAAAACGAAGAACTAATTGAAGTGATATGAAAGGTTCTGGATTGATTCTAGAAAAATATAACTCGTGGTCGCATAAGGAATTACCGAAACGGTCAGATCGCTTCTTCTTGTTACCAAGCAAGGAAAAAGAGAGAGAGAGAGAGAGAGAGAGAGAGAAAGAGAGAGAGAGAGAGAGAAAGAGAGAGAGAGAGAGAGAGAGAGAGAGACAGAGAGAGAGAGAAAGGAGTACCGCGTCGAGTTCTTCCGTTGTAAAAAGCGGTCTTCGCCATAATGCTTTGAAAGCTGGCCTTGTTACATGGACCGTTGAGTAATATGTTGAATAACGAGAATCGTGGATCTTGTGGTCTCTACCTAAAGTCATCGGTCAAGTCGTTGTTGTCGATGTCGAAGGAAAGGACGTAGGAAAAACGCCAAAAGCTTTGTACATTTTTCTTTTTCTTTTATTTTCTTTAATACAGAAGTGATATCACTCGCGCATACCTAGACACATATATATATATATGTATATATGTATATATGTATATATATATATATATATATATATATATATATATATATCTATGCGTACATATCATACTTATAACCAAGCGCATAGATATTTTCCATGGACACAGTAGCCCTTGGGCAATGAGTCCGGTTTGTAAATCACGTAAATAATTATGCAGCATATCGTAATTATACGGCCGAGTTGACACAAAAAGGATACACGGAACCTTGACACCGTCCATTCCGTGGATCCACCGGAATAGAGACGATATTTTACCGAGCGTGCAATTAAGATAGAAATATAGTCGTAGTCGACATTGTAATGGCTTCGACGCGTAGCCCCATCGATAATACGTGTCTACGTCTGCTCGTATTAACCCTAACTGACCTAACCCGTTTTACGATCGACGATCATGCCCATGCTTTCGAGAACATGCAGCGCAAGCACGACCGTTCGTGTTTCATGAATTCGACGATTTAGCCTTTCCCTTCCTGATTTATTCGATTTATCCATTTGAAAATGTCTAAAGGTTGGTAGGAAAACTTTGTCCTTTTTTTGTTTTCTCATCGGCGATCAAACAAATAAAGAAAAACAAAAAGAAAAACAAAATTAGCGAGTTCTATAACGTAAGGGTAATGGTGCACAAGATTCCACAACGTACCTACCGCATTTGATTAGATTCTGGCCTCGAGGTTGTACATGTATGCTTGAGGTTCGCATGTATGCTTCGTTATACTCTAGTTTTATACATTCGTCATAAGTGTTAAGGTGGTGCACGTTATTCACCGACCGGTTTCGTTCGTTCATTCGCTCGCTCTTTGCTCCTCGCTCCTCGCTCCTCGAAAAGGAGGACCTCCTTGGTGTGTGCGTCCTTCTATATTTTTCTTCCCTTTGGCTCATCTCTCGTAAGACGTCATGCTGGGAAGTCGCTTTTAATACCGGCGGTATCCACGGTATTCCGGGGTTAGTTTTGTCGTTAACCCCAAGTACGTTCTCGACCTACCGGCCGCTTAATTACCAAGCGTGTCCTATTAACCGAGCAGATTTTCCCGCGCTCGATGCCTGCGATGCTCATAATTAAAAGCGAATATCCATTACGGATTAAAGAATATTTACGAATAGAGAAAGAATACGTCGACGTGTTCGTTGGGCCTGTTGCAATCCTTATCTTATACGAGACGAGAGTTTATGTTATCGCGATAACGAACGAACGAACGAACGAACGAAGAGAGAAAAATTCCTTTTAAAGGAGGACAACGAACAACGTGACTGCTCACGCTCGCCCGAGCGCGTGTACAGCGACGCACTTGCCTTATGCAAATAACATGTTGCTCGTAAAACACGAGCTAATTGCGTTAGGGTACTATTCTATTAGCCAAGGGAATTCTAAAATCTTTAGAAAAGCTAACTAAATATCATTCACGTGGTAGATTA